TTGACTACATAAAAAAATAATTATTGCTGTTGTTCTTGGCCTTAAATATTTGTTCCAAAGCGACTTTTTACGTACCTTTGGTTGTTTGCTACTGAAACCCTCCTGAATCCCTCGATGTAGATGCGCAGTAAGTGTGCGCGCTGACAATAGTAGGCACCGCCAACCTAATTTTGATTTGTGCAATACTTTATGTCTCCAATATAATAGAAGATAAATAAGATCAAATAAGTTCCTTTTTCAGTTTTGCATCTCATTTGAAATCTTGCATCTCATTGGATATTTGTATTTTAAAATTTATAATTCAACCTTTCTGTAATCAAGTGTATATATTATATACTATCAAGAGAATATGAACTAAGAGAAGGAATCCTACCTATATAAACTCGTAACCATCATGTGCACAGTTTGATGCTATTTTTAGCTTGGAGATATTTGAGCGAAGAACCTGATTGGTTGATTTCTTGAGGGTAGGCGGCTTCCAGTCTTGCAGTAAACAAAGCCTGTGTTTTTGTCGTGGACGTAGCGAAATAATGGCGCTTTTCGTGTCCTAAAACGAGGCATGAAAGGGAAGCATGATTATCGCGCGGGCATGGTAACGAGTTAAAAATAGCATCAATGATTCTAAAAATAGCGTCAGTGTGCACATGATGAGGCACGGGGATTCCTTCTCTTAGTTCATTTTCTCTTGATACTATATTACATATATATTTTTGTTTCAGATTGCTGAACAACAATCACTTGACGACGTTACCTGTTGGAATGTTGAAGAATAGCAAACTACTTAATGGAATGTAGGTTGTAAAGCATACTACTAACATTTTAGCTTTTTAACGACTTTAAATCGTAATTCAATCCAGCTGTTGTAGTCTAGGATCGAGAAAAATTGAAACTGCAGGGACGTTATTTCTACTTCACTATTTCAAATAAACTATTATCGACTATAAATATTTGAATTTTTATTTCAGAGATTTGAGAAATAATCAGCTGATTACGTTACCAGCTGGGTTATTTGATGAGAACGAAAAGCTTAACATCATGTAAGTTCTTAAGATTAGAAAGGGATAGATTCCTATTGAACTACGYTTTACAATGTGAGCCGAGAATTGCATTTCGCCATTTACCCTGCCAGACATAATGACGATTTTGTAGAAGTTTGTGRATCCAGTTTAAACGGTCTTAAATAGGGTAGCTTCAAGGGCGAATCCAGCCAAAATTTTAAGGGGAGGGGGCTAATGGGGGGGGGGGGGGGCTAATTGAGTTTCTTCCGTCGACACAACGGAAAACAATAAAAAAGCATCTACTTCTAGCACGGCACGCCTGAAAAGGAGGATGAATCATATAGCTGTTTAAATATATCGAACAAATATATATTTTCAATAAAAAAAAATTGTAGTGCAATAACAATAATTTTATTTGCAGTTAAATAGGCTGCTGCCATATGGATATGTGTTTGGATGAATATTTTTATCTTTATATTTTATAGAGTGTTGGAAAGCAACCAGTTAGCCTTGCTACCTGATGGAATCTTCCATAACCTAAAAGCACTTAGTGCACTGTAAGTAATATGACATAATCATAAATGATAAAACCTCTTTATATATATTCGTGTCATAATRTAGTACACCATAATGTTTTAAGGTTAATTTTAATATTTCTATAGCGCAAATTACATCATAAATATGATCTATGCATTATAAATATGACCTGATGTTTCTTTTTGATATAAGATAAAAAAGAGTGAGAAGAGGAGAGGAGAGGAGAGGAGAGGGGAGGAGAGGAGAGGAGAGGTTTGAAATAGCTTTATTGGCATGACCTACGATTTACAGGTATTGCTAAAGCATTGAATATTAACAGGGATTTTTTTTTTGTTGTTATATTTTACAAACACATTGTAATAAGAAAAATATCTATATATCTATATGTAAAGTAACATATTTAAAAAAAAAAAAGGTATGAGTATTACAAATATACTAAAATCTTAATTGAATGGTAATAATAATCAAAGATAAATTTATCAAAAGTAATCATTAATACATTACATCAGAGAGGAGAGGAGAGGAGAGGAGAGGAGAGGAAAGGTGAGAAAACATTGCTACTGCAATGGCATTCACCATTTTCCATACATCGGTTCACTTGTCAAACACAAAGCATTCAGTCGAGGTTGCAAGGTTCAAATTTGAAAAATCCTTTGAAATTACCTTGGCGCCTCGCTTGAGCGCTTTGTGTTTGACCAGTGAACCAATGTATGGGAAATGGTGAATAGCATTCATAATATGGTATAAATGCTGATAAAACTAAATCCTTTTTTAGAAATTTGCGTCATAATCAGCTTATAAGACTTCCAGCTGGAATCTTTGATAATAACAAACGTCTCTCTTCACTGTAAGTTACTTTTTGTTGTTCTTTTTTTGCTTGTGTTGTTGCGATACATTTTCCTGGGTTTCTTCATTGCTTTCAGTCGAGGATTACCGGTTATAAATTRCAGACAAAATGGCGCAAACTGAATTGTAAAAGAAGTGTGATTACTCTAGCTTGGATTTACTCTTGGATTACTATGAGGTCACATCAAAACAATCTATTGTTTAAACGCAAAGGATCATGGTCGTCGGAGGGGGTCAAAT